TATTTGATGAATCACATAAATTTGAATTGAAGGAATTCAACTGTTCCATTATGAGTTTCAAGTGGAGAAAGAATTCCATGAGGAAAGATATAAAAAGCAATTATTGATATAACAAGTATTTTTTTCCCATGAAGGTTAAAGAGTGTTAAATATATTTGTAAAACCAAGAGAATATCAAAGGATGTCTTGTTTACATAAACAGTGTGTTGGCAATCCAGAAATACCATCCCCAGGAGTTAATTCCACAGGTTCACTCTGGAAGTCAGTGCCACTCCAAGGAGCAGGAGGCTGAGCTGGGTCTGCTCCAAGCCTTTCAGCAATACTTGGCTGGAGGCAGGGGCACAGTTACATGGCTAATTACTTCCGTTCCATATGGAAATGAGAAGAGGAGAAAATTATCATTATTATCCATTTGAGCACATGATTACCTGAGTGCAGTGTGTGGCTACAGTGCTCTCTTTGCAATTGCACTCTCAGTTAAACAACACCTGGATTTCTTCTGAGGGTTGGTCCAGACTCAACTTCAAGTGATATCCTTACACCCCACTTAACAAAGTGATTGGGGTGTTTAGAGATTCTGCCTGATACCTGTAAATCAGTGCTTCAGACAATGTCAAAACCTAGTAGGTCTGAAAATATGTTGACCAGACCCTGAATTGATCTGTACTTGCTGAACTTGATGTGCTCTTGCTCAAAAGAGACCAAGAGAAACCTTGAAGGAATGGTTAATTCAGGAATTTTGTTTGAAAGGACAAAGAAGATAACAGTGCTTCCAGCCCTGGGAGTTAGATTTTGGGGTTTTGGAGGTTTATGGTCGGGTATTTTATTTGGTCAGGTTTTGGGGAGTGTTTTTTGGGGACTTTTTTTTTAGGGGCTTTTTTTTTTTGAGTTTCAGGTCATATGGAGTATCTTTAAGTCCATCTCTGTTTACTCCCCAGGCAATTCACTGGACTCTGTGAACTCAGAGTGGAGAGGTCCCTGGCTCTGTGCTGTGAACAAGGGGAGACAGTTACACCTGACAGCAAGCAATGAAGGACATCTGCCAGTTTCCATTGCTCCATTCTGCTTTTACATTTGAGGAGCTTCTCAGGTTCATTGGTATCAGGAAGACCTTGACAGCCAGGAATGCTTAAGGAGCCAAAGAATCTATACTGTGTTTGACTTGTCTATGTTGAGATGTTGTCTTTGAGGTCACTGTGGGAGAGGGTTCAAGACAACCTATGAGACTGACAAGGGCTGGATCAGACATGGATGCTGTAGCACATGCACTGCTTCATCCTCCTCCTCATGCCAGGTCAGAGCTGACTGTGCAGACTCCCCAGGACTGCAGCAGATACGAAACAGGAGGATTTCCTATTCCATTGATTAGTAAAGATCATTTCCAAGCAGCACTGGTAAGTTAGGCTCATTAATGGACCCACTTCCTTAGCATCCCCAAACATGGGGCTTGGTCTTCGTAGAAGTCAAAATTCACCTTGGCTTCACTGGGCAGGGACCTGCTTAAGTTGAAACCACAGTGGTGTTACCCTGCTGATTCTCCATGCGCCCAGTAACATGCAGCACCCACATACCAGCATGCCACCAGCAACTCCACATGGCATTTACAGCACCAGCTGACTTGCTGTGAAAGAGAAACACTAAGAAATCCTCTCTACCAGAAGGAGTACTGGAACTACACCACCAGCAGCTGCAGTAACACACTGTGTGCCAGAAGTCAATCCTTCCCCTAGGGAAATGGAGATGAGTTGGTTCTTGAAATGACAGACAGCACACCCTCAAGGTGGAGTTGATCTGTACTCAATTCTTATTCATCCATCTACCTTCTAGGAAGTGTTTGGTGCTCCTTTCAAGTGGGGCCACCTAGGCAGACCCACAGAAATGTGAGTGCCACTTCCCTGTACCTGAGAATCACCAGCTCCACAGTGGTGACGTTGTCCAAGTCACATGCACGAGGTTGCTTATTCCTCCAGTGTGGGCCCATAATTACCCATCCGTGCCCAGAAGGGCAGGCAAGCTCTCCCACAGCTCACAGGAAATAATTACAGAGCAGCTCACCTTCCTGCAGTACAACACTCTTCCTGATACGTCCCAGAGGCAGCAGCAGTGCATTACTCATAGTGGGTGACGTTTCCCAGCCTGATTCTCATGCCCTGGCTCAGCCATCCATCCCACTCCCATCTGAGGACAGCCCAGGCCAGCATGGGAGTTGATGCAGGGGAGTTGGGGAGGAAGTGGAGGACACGGCTGTGGCTGTGGGAAGCAGCTGATCAAGAAATGCTTGTTTAACACATGTCAGATCAGCCTGCTCAGGAGTGAGCTGTTTCTGTAAATCAAATAACTTCTCATGAGTCAGGAGCCCAACCCTTTATTACAGAGTCACATATTTTCAGAAATCGCTGTAATTCAGGGATTTTTATTGTTAACAGTTTTTGGCTTTCATGTGCCAGCCTGAGGTGGGATCTGACTCCTTAGAACTGTTGAGAGCATGGGTTTCTGTGTACTGCCAGCACCCAAAGGGAGTGAAAGCCTGTAAAGGGATACCAGGCAACCCATCCTCATTTGCCAAGAGAGACAGATCAGTCCCTCTTCTCTGAATGCTTTTGAGGGCCCCTTTCCTAAAAATGACATCCACAGACTGTAAGCTCCCTGGAGGCACTACTGGAACTGACCACATACATCTGAGAATGCTGAAATTAAATTTGTAATACTTAGCTCTGTAATCTGCTAACAGTGCTAAGTGGTAGAAAGAGGCAGCAAGAACCTTCCAAAGCTCTTTCCAAGTACATACGATCAAGAGATTAACTTGTCAGACACAGCCCACTTCTGCTCAGCCCCCAGGAAGCCCCACTGAGGATAACTGCCATGCAGATCTTTATAGAAATTTCATAAAATATAAGATGAAAAATAATTATTGAGTTGTCTAGTCTAGCCACCCATCCATCTTTTATATGTGCAAAGTGAACAATTTGCAGCAGAAGACCAAAAGTTTAAAGTGTGTGGGAGTAACGAAAAACAGCAATAGAAGCATGAAAAAAAGCTCTTTACCAACATTGCTTAGCTGCTGCAGTAATGGAAAACAAGGCTACAAATTACTTTCAGAGCTCTGTATTTCCATTGTTTTAAAAGCTACAGCCCTTTTTTCAGAGCATTACAAAAACATCTTGCCTGCAGATAGGCTTTTATGTTTTTTAAACACTGCTTGCAAACATAAGTGCAGGTATGTGTCTGTTTTGAGAGAGCCCTTGGGGATGAGGAGCTTCACACAGGGGTGTTTCGGGAAGTCTCTGTAAACCAGTGTTGCCACCCCTGGATTAATTAATTCCACAGTGGGCACTCGCTGACTGTTTCATCCGACTGCAGGATCTCATGGGAGATTTTGGGACACAGTAAGACAAGGCAAAGCACACACTGCTCCCAAGGCATGGCAATGCAAGCCAACAGCACTGCTGGGTACTGCCCTTCTGCCTGTGATGATGGGTGGGAAAGGGGGCAGTGGAGGAGAGCAGAGCTTGGCAAGCACCTGCTTGGTTGATTTGTGTCCACACACGCCTGCTTATCCTACATAGGGTATGTGGTGATGCCCCCCCAAGGTTATTTTGCCTGCAGGTCCCTCTGCTCAGTGTTCTGCTTGCAGACCATGCTGACGCTCTCCTGCTCTGGGGACAATCTCCCTGGATGAGCACGCCTATGGAGAAAAGTTCACATCCCTTGGCATAAAGATGTATCCCAAAGGAGTCAGCAACCTATGCGCACCACTGCCTGTAGACCCTCCTCAATCTCCTGTGGGGCACATGGCAAATCCTCAACCCCCCAGTTTCACGTACCAGGAAGGTTTAGCTTCAAATTATTTTTTGAGCTGTTGTTTTCCCTGCAGAAGTTTTGTTTTGATACACACCCTTGTGTTCAGCATCTCTGCTTTGTAGGGGCTTTTGCAGTCCCTATTCGTGTAGCAGAGGGAAGACAGCTCGATGCTCAGTTTGAGCGATCTGCTCCAGACCTCATCTCTTCAGATTGGGCTTGGCAAACAAAACCCCCTCTGGGAAATAAAGGGTTCAGGCTCACCAGGCAAGACAGACCTCCTGAAGGACTCTTTCATGTAGAGCTGAAGAGAATGGAGTTTGTCAGAGTTCTAAAGACAAAGTAGTGCCATCAGAGGGGTGTGCAGGCTCCACACAGGAGGGACACTTCATATGTTGTCAGCCTTTGAATTCAGCTTTTAAATAAAAGATTGGTCTTCAGACCAAAAAAAGTGATGCCTTTTATGAGTAATAAAGCACAAAGCAATTTATTCCTTTTTATGGATGAAACTACCATTCAATATAAAATAATATAAAATATAAAAATATAAAATAATATGGCTCTTTTGATTTATTGATAAGCCAAATTCATATTTCACCTTGGGAAAATAACACATCATCTGGCTTGCCACTGGGCAGATGTCTGAGAGACAAGGGTGTTGGTGCTGCTCAGGCTGGGATTAGCCTTTGTGTCACAGGCCAGTCTCAGGGAATATTTTCATGTCTTGGGCTCCAGCACTTGTCAGAGGTGATGGGATGGAAGCTGATGGTCAGTATCATTGTTGGGCATTTTGGGCAGCCACACCGAAGCAACATTGTGTACGAAACTGCATGCAAGTGGTGCTTCCCATGGCCCACGGCTCTGCAGCCCAGCCTTTGTGCACATGTCCCTGCATGTCCAGCCCCGCCATGTCCCTGCCATGCCCAGCCCGGCCTGTCCTGCTGCCCTGGGCCCGCCGGGCCGGGCTGGGCCTCGCAGGCCTGCGGCAGGGCGCGGGCCCGGCCGTTGTTCCCATGGTGACGGTGGAACGGTGGCGTCCCGGGGCCGCGCTGTCGGAGGCGGTGCTGGGAGGCTGCAGGAACAACGGCAGCCCTGCCCCGCACTCACCGGCAGATGAAGCTCTCCGGGCCCTCCAGACCGCTCTTGCCCTGACACACTTACATCCTGACGATGTCGACCCACTGTTACTTCCAGGAGGAGAACATGCAGAACCTGCGGCACATCAACAGGCAGATGAGGCTGCTGGACCTGCGCCTGCAGCTGCTCCGGGAGAGGCTGTGCGCGGCCCGCTTCAACAGGTGCGCCTTTTCCTGCTGCTGCCTGGCCCAGCCCTGCTTCCGGAGAAGGTGCCTCGCTGCAAGGAACGAGAGGTAAGAGAGAGCTGCCTGCTTTTACAGACATTGGCAACCTTTAGGCTAGGATAAAGGGAGGTTTGACATTTCTATCGGGAGCAAAGGTTGATACAGGTAAGTAGGGTGGGGGGGAAATAGCCATTTTGGAGAAATAAATTGAAAGGGATACAGGAAAGTAAAGATTGTTCTCTTGTTTTAATTCCAGAACGAAAAGACTTGGCATGATGTTGAATTCATGCAGTGGTCAAAATTTGGCTTTGATCGATGTGAAGGGTTTTGACCCCAAAGACATCACGGTGACGGTGAAGGATGGGAAGGTGACTGTGTCAGCGGAGCGCAAGGTGGAGTGCAACACCGGCTGTACAAAGACAAGCAACTACAAAAAGTTCGTGAAGGAATTCAGCCTGCCACCAGGGGTGTGTGACAAGGAGGTGACCTACTCAGTGGAATCCAAGTGCCTCGCGCCACCCAAGTGTTGCCCTTATCTCTGCAACTGAGCTGCAGCAGGAAGCCAGACCAGCCACAGCCATGCCTCTGCCTCAAGCCTTGTCCCCATGGCATTTAGATCTGTGTCAGAGCTTCTCTTACATTTTCCATTAAAGAAAACAGCATTCTAAGCAGGTTGTGTGAGCCTCATTTTGAAGGGTGTTAGTGGGCAAAAAGGGGAGTGCCATCAGGAAAACACAAAGATATTTTTGGGCATACATGACTGTGGTCACTTGCTGGGTACTGAAGGCAGGGCTGGAGGTGGCGGATTCAGGGCGTACAATCTCATGGTTTTTAAAGGCTGAGAGGCACCACTTATGATCAGTCACATTTCTGTAAGGACACTTCTCTCAATCCAACCTCTTCCATTTGATCTCTAGGGTATTTCTAGGAGGAAAATCTTGAAGAGAAACACATTGAGGGGAGGAGCCTTTTCCCCAAAAAATCAAGCTGTACCCTTTGTTCCCTTGGCTTGGTTCTTGCACAGAGTGCCTGGCTGGGAAAAGCTGTGGATAAAGAACAGAGAGCTTTTCCTTAGAAGAGTTGGGATTAGGGTAGAACTCTTACCAGCTGAGGAGGGAATGACAGCATTTCCTGCTGAATCAATGGCTCCAAAATAATAAGAAAACATTTTTCATGTTGGGAGAGGGGGAGAATTATCAGTAAAATTGCTTGAAGGCAATTTTAATTTTGCTGCCCTAGCCTCAGCACTTGGGTATGCAGTCCTGTGGGAAGTAGCATTACCTCCCACTGCCAAAAGGTGTGTAACAGAACATACCTGGTGCCTGCATTTACCAGCCACCTGGGCCAGCATCTCCCCAGTGAGCACCACCTGGTTCAGGCTTCATGAGCCCCTGGGGCTGGAGGGAGGAAGGTTGCCACCTCTTCATGTGATGCACTCCCCTGCAGCAGACTTTCCTAACAGGGAGCTCAATGTTTTAGGTTGTGCTGGCACAGAATCTGATGTTCCCTAACCTGCCGGGGGAGAGGGTGAGCACCTGTGGGCTGCTGCTGTGCAGGTGTGCTGCACAGCTGAAACTCTTCAGAGTGGAGTGCTGTCCCTGCCATTAGCCTGGTGAGAAATGCAGTTGGTTGCTTTCACCTGTGGGAACCCTGACTCCTAAAGGACCCTCACATCAACTGGATCAATGTGTCTCAGAGCATCCAAGAGGCCCCCAGTGCCATAAGCACCCACTCACTGCTGCAGCAGGGAATATTCCCCTGGAAACGCTGACACCTGAAGAAAACAAAGCCAGTCCTTTATGCACAGTCTGCAAACAGTCACTTTCACAGTTGACTTTCACCTCATGAAGGTGGTGAATCACAGGGGATGGGTTACAGAGCGGTGAGTCCATGGCTGGGAGCACCATGGCTGGGGGAGGCCCTTGGCTCCATCACCACCCACTCCTGTCCTCTGCGTGGGAGCTCCTCCAGCCAAACATGTTACATGCAGATCGTTGAGGATCAGTTTAGCTTGGCTATAAACAGCTTGGTAATTTAACTGTGATGCAAGAAATTAACTGCTTCTAGAATACTTTTAGCATCCAGCTTAAATTTAAAATAACACCTGTTAAGAAATATTAAACTTTATGGGCTTAGTGTATAGCTGGGTCAATATAGAACCATACAACCATGGAATAGTTTTGGAAGGTGACCTTGTCTAATGCCCCTACCATAACCAGGAACATCTTCCAGGCTGCTCAAGCACCCATCCAGCCTGGCCTCTGGGCAACCTATTACAGTGTCTCACCACCCTCATCATTAAAAAAAAAAAGTTCCTTATGTCACATTTAAATCTAATCTTTTTCCATTTAAAACTGCTTCTCCAGTCACTACAGGCCTTGGTATCAAGTGTCTCTCCACCATTCTTATAGACGTTCCTAACATACTGAGAGGGTGCCCATGCACAGGTAGTCTGATTCTGCTGGTGTTGGCCAAGGATGTTTAGACCTAAGGCACCCCTCACTTGGGAGGCCACAAGGGAGCCTCCAGTGAGAGCACACAGCAGGGATAGGGACTGGAGATGGACTGGGAAAGACCATCTTCCTACAAAGCAACCCACCAAGTAATAAAACCAAGACCCCTCTGTGATAGGGTTTTTGCACTTCATAATGATTTCTACAGAAGTTGTCTAAGCATGCAGAAGGGAAACATATTTCAACACCTCCCCTCTACCCGTGACTTGCAGAATACATCGAGTCCCACGGCAATCACAGGGCTGGCTATGACTGCTCTTATCCTTATTGCTCATCCTTCAACACATGCTCTTCACACGCTGTTCCTAAATTAGGCTCCTTGTGCTCCTAAAACCAAATTACACTCTTGAGCACTTCTTGACAGATATAAGGAATTTTCTGAGGAAAATTCTGAATTCGTATTACATCCTGTGAGTTGCTAGTCTAGGCTGGTAGGAGTATCTTGGAGACCTTTTCTGTAATAGAAGCAAATCACTGAAATAGTCACTTAGTTTTGTTAATACCTACATGCTGTTAACAGTTTGGAACTTAGTCAAAATCTATAATAACCATATGCTGAGAGTTTTCAAGGAGAAAATACCTTTGGAAAGCCACCATTAACCCAGCAAGCTGTAACATCATCATCTCCCATTAAAAAAAAAAATCATTTACCACTAGGTGGCAGATACTATTTTTTACAATTTACCACCGTGCAACTCTTTTATTCAGAGCAAGCACACTGAGGGTGGTATCACAAAGCAATAAAGTTGGCACACACTGGAGCTGGCATTTTTTTCTGTTACACTAATAGCAAGTGAAGAGGAGGACAAGAGACAGGGCTGTTTTGTGATCCTGGGTGTGCAAGAGCTCTCAGGACAGACCACCATCACATTAGGTTACTACACTGGATTGTATTGACCTTTGATCCTGCAGCTCTCCCCCATGGAGATAAGGCTCCTGTTTAAGGCCACTTTCATTTGCTTCAGCAGCCTGTCTCAGCCACAGTTATCAACCCAACAGGAGCTTCCAGTGGTTCATGTATTCTTCAGCATGTTGCCGCAACAAATTATTTTTGGGGTCAATCTTGACCATCCTCATGCAGCAGATACTCTCTCTGAAGTCCCTAGCATGAGGAAGGTATCAGAGAGGATGAATTTGCTCTGTAGTTCTAAATGTTAGTACATTCTTGAACTCTAGTCTTATGGGGGGCATTTATAAATAGCCAAGGAATTTGTAATGAGAGGTCATCTGAGGATGTTAAATCCAGACCTTTCCTCAGTCATCAGCTTCTAGGGGTTTTCCTACAGCCAGGCAGTGCTCTGCTGTGCTCTACACAGGCTTAGGCTGTGTTGAACTGTTATTTCTCTCCCTGCTATTGAAAACCTGGGGAGAGCAGTGCCTTCATGAGAAGGTGAAAAGATCCCATCTTTCCTCTCCCCAGGTGCCTCGGTGCCCTGCTGCTCCTGAGGGCACAGCACTGCTCGGGCAGGGGGCTGCTGCTCCCAGTGGGCAGTGCCTACTTGGCAGGGCTCTTTCTGCCAAGCACTAAATTAAATGCCTGTCACAGGGCCCAGCTCCACTGTTCACACCTCCTGTCCTCATCCTCAGAGCAGCAGCATGGCGAGGCTTTTGGCATCACCCCAGCCAGGTGGGGCTGGTGCAGCTGCCCTCCACTGCACCTTCACATGAGTATAGAAGCTTCATCCATCCATCCATCCATCGTGTTTGTGCTTAAAGTTAAATTTAACCATTGCCCTTGCTAAGTTTTTTGGCATCTTAGTCTCTTAGGTAAACTTTCCAAGCCTGTTTTGCATCATCTCTCCTGGAGAAAGCCCTAAGAATTTATAAGAGAGAGCAGGACCCATGTCTTCAACTCTGCCTTTGTACCAAAGACTCCATAGATTTGTTGTCATTCTGGACTCTGCACTTGCCACCTCATTAATAACTCTGCACTGAATTTAGGTGAGGAGTAAGCTGATCCTTCCAGCACATTTGGCATGACTGTTGTGAAGCTGCCACCTCCACAAGCATGGGACACCAGCCCTTGCTTCTCCTCTTTAACCCTGCAGGTCCTTTCCCTGGTCTCTGGAATGAAAAGGAAGTTTTCCATCTCTGTCTGTCTTCTAATTCCCTCTGCCATCCCATTTGTGCCCCTCCAATTGCTGTAGGTCAGGCCTTTCTTTTGACAAGTGATGTATGAGGATTTGCTTCTTCTCTTGAAATCCCACTCTACGTGAAAAAAGCTTTGCTGTCCTGGAGGTTATCCTTTCAATTGCCCTGCTATGTGGTGTGAAATCCTGCCATGCAGTTGTCTTTCTCAATTGCAACATCAATTATAAATAATAGCAGGTCTCTCTGCCCTGTAATTGCTTGTGCTGGTCCCTGTCTTGGGGTGTTACATAGTCTTTAAAGGCCTGCAAGTGACAATAATGCTATAATTTGAAAATCTGAAAACTAAAAATCATCAGCACCCACACCTCACTAGAACAGATTTTAACTTGCTAGGAAAGTAAAATACAGCTTCCTCTTTTTCGTTTGTTTGGGTTTGGGGCTTTTTTGCCATAGTTTTTTTGCATCTCCACACGTGTGTGCAGAAAAGCCTGCAAAAGGGAGAGCTGCCAGGGCTCTGTCTCACAGTCACGCAAGTGCATGTGGCACTTTACAACATGTCAAAAGAGAAAACAAAATCCTCTCTCTGCTGGGGTCTGGGCCCCAAAGCCCTGGAGAGTCCTGAGTCTCGACAGAAAGGAGCAGGGCCCACAACAGCCACAGCACCCGACGCTGTCCCCTCCCACCCCCTGCCCCGGGGCTGCCATCTGGACGGTCACCAGCCACCACTGCCTGTGCTTGTGGGACACAGGGCTGTGCTCCTGCAAGCACAGAACCAGGAACATCACCCAGAGCATCTGGCTATGGCCCAGTGAGGACCTCCAGGAGAGTGTGAGCAGAAGCCCCATCAGTGGGAAGGCAGAGGGACCTGGGAGAGCTTGTCAGTGTGGTCACAGCCCAGGACAGCAGCCTGACACCAGCCACGGGCAAGGCACTGGAGCCCAGCTTTGGGCAGCCACTGGCACAGACTCCTCCAGAGCCCAGCAGGGAGG